GGTTTCTATTCCCGATATCGAACAACAGATAGCCGATTTGGAAGCTGAGTTGAGCCAAGGTACGATTGATATGTAACAGCGTGTAGAGTACTCTCCTTTTTTCTCAGTCGCCAGCCTATTGGAAGTGTCTGTTGATTCGGTTCAGTACGTGGATTTAGATGAACCTATTGATAGCAAGGGGAAACGGCGGAAGACCACCTCTCCTACTAAAGGACAAGACCTGGGTAAGCTGACCTGAGGTGAAGGGAGTTGTCGATGGAGTTTATGCTCATGCAATTTTACTGGATGATTTCACTGTGTTAGTGTGTAATTTGGTGTTATCATAGCTGACTAGAGTTTCACGACCCGTTTTACGTGAAGTGGCGGCGTAAAACTCGGTGAAAAACGCGATATTCGCGGTGATATGCAGTAGTCGTGAAAATATATTTTGTACTAGTGTTTTTCATATCACTAGGGTGGTGAAACTCCAATGTAGTAGCAACTTGAATAACCGATTCTCGCGTTCATCGTTCTTCCATGCACCGCTCCTCTCGTTGCTGTTGCGATTTTCATCTCGAGTGAATTCTCCAACCCCGCTGCGTATCATGATCATCATCAACTTCTCAGAATCACTGATCAATACCGAACTCTCACCGGCTTCCACCTCTTCCATATCTACTGCCATCGACGCCTGTTGGGATCCATCACTATCACTAATATCGCCACCTACGCATCCGGAATTCTCTATTTCACAAGCTTTCGCCGAGCTCACTCAACTCGGGGCTGGTACTATCGAGGACTCCTCTGTATATGCAATGGACCTCAGTGGCTTTTAGGTGATGTAGTAACACTATTACGTCAATTGCTTGAAAATGAAGAGACTTCAGTCCTCTCGACAGAAGCGGCAGAAAAGCTATTACAAGCATCGATCTCGCGTGTGCCGGACTTTGACGGTCCCGGGCTGGCAGCGCTGATGGTCATCGCTGAAAGGAATAAGTAGTTCTTCATGGATGAAAAAGTGTATCGGGGCGTTTAGTGTTAACTACAGGTCTACATTGGTGGCGAATCCCAAGTTGCTATCAGAAATTGCAGTTGTAGTTGTTGCACAAATCAACACATTGGGACCACTCCTACGGCCAGAGTGAGATAGGAATTCTCCATGCCATGTTGAAGTTACTCGTGTTAGGTTGATATCGACCATAGCAGGAAGCTTCGCTAGCTTGGAAGGAGCGATAGCGCAAGCGAACCCGTCCGTTACTCCGCTCGGACCAACTCCCCAACGACCAGGTAGTGGAGTAGGTTGGTTCCTATCCTCTTTTGGATACTGATGTTCCCGAGGAGTGGTATGAATATATGTTCAGGCACTCCTGTATCATCGGCACCTGTGAGCCCAACAGCTTCTGCTAGTTTATTACATACACCGACGTCTACTGCGTCCCTCACTGCCGGGTTGACCTCTCCTGGAGGGCCGCTTGGGAATTCGTGGCGTAGCGGTCTTTCGAGGTGTCTGCTGGCTAATCTGGAAGATATAGAGATAACAACACTATGTCGTTGCTTGTACAGTTTGGTGGTCCAAATAGCACCTCCTGCTAGTACCTCGACAGTTTCACCGAAGTTACCTGCTTCGCTCCGCCTGATTTTGGACCAAGTCAGTCACACGTTGCCGAGTGCTAGGTTGGACGCTGGGTCCGCCTTGCTGATGATCAGCGTCTTCTCAACGCCTGCTGTGGATGATGTTAGCTGCGCTGCTAAAATGGCGAAGAAAATGTGCGAGGCCCCGGATTTGAACTCGGGTCACTTGGAGGAGATCGCGACTACTACCTGCTCGCACTGGAAGTTCAGCTATGCTGCTCGACGGAGAATTCTCCCTCTCATATGCAACCGAGTTGAATCCTCGGAGTTTTCATCGCCGAGACTGGTAGCATTACTAGCTGCTACCTGCGCTCCGCCTCACACAGCTATGCCGGGTGGTCGGCAACACCCAAGCGGGGACGACCTGCAAGGCCTGGTCCAGAGCGCGTCCTTATTGAGGCTTTGTGCTGGGCAGGCTGCTGATGCTTTGGCGTCTGTGGGGGCTGCTGGTGTGCCAGGGGGCACTGCATGGGTGGTAAAGGATGTTATAGATGTAGTACTCATGTGAAGGCGGAGCGAAGCGGCTTTTATATGTCTGTTTTTAGGTTGCTAATTATGTGTCGGCTAGTTTGGAGTCTGAGAGTTGTCCAGATAAGT